ATGATGTAATAATTTGTTCTCTAAAGACACGTTTTACAAAAAGTTATGACCGGTATCATCAAGCACTCGATGTCTGTCAAACATACCAGTGTTTGGCTCCACAGAGAAGTATGGGTGTCCTTGACTGATGCTGTAGACCAGTTTGGCACTGTTCCCATACATTGTGTCATCAGCGTCTGTAGCTGTCACCTGGGTGACCGATGTACCTGAAAGAGTTGCATTACCACGACTGTTACTGAGAGATGTTACCAAAACAAAAAGCAGAAACGAGCAGTGAGCGAGGTTCTTACCAATATCAGACCTCTCAGGAACGCTGGCAGTGTACACCTCTTTGCTGAACTTTGGTTCGTTGTCATTGATGTCGTGGAGTTTGATGATGAACTCGGTCTCTGGCTCCAGTTTTTGACCCGTCCACTTGTTGACTACTGTGGCTTTGAGGACATAAAAGGCCTTCTCCTCTCGATCAAGGCGGCGCGTGGCGTGCAGATCGCCGTTATTCTCATCGATGACAAAGATGGTGCCAGCCCCCTCGCCAGAAAGAACGTACTTTACTGAGCCATCGCCATGGTCCTGGTCTGACTGGAGCTGCAGGTGGACATGTGAAGAAGTCGTCAACTGATGGTTGAGTTATTAACATACCAGACAGATACTAGCTGCTCATACAGCTCAACTCTTTCCACTTCACTGAGGTGAGGCTCCATTCCCAATCTACAAAATAATGAAAATAATGAAAGCACATTTTATTTTGAGGGATTTTTTTCTTTATTAAGATCATTTAATACATTTAGTAACAGCTGGACAAAGGATCCCGTCTTCAGTGTTCTACCTATGCCCACAGGTAGAAAGCTGCTTACCTTAAGCAGGTAAAGTAAGCAGGGGTTGAGGTGGGATGTCAAGCTGTCACCTGTGAGCAGTTTAGAGTTTCTCACCCTATCAGAGAGTGAGACAATAGCCCACACCACGTGACCAGCACTGAGACTGGAGAGATTGCAAGAGAGAGACATGGTATCTGAAGAAACCCTCAACTTAAAACAGTTCTCCAAAAGCAGAGATGGTGGGAGATTCCTTGAGAAAAAGCTTTTTACAATCTTTTATTGCTTATTTTTTTTGTATTATAAGCTTTTCAACATACTCTTTCATAACCTGTCTCTAAAAACATTTCTGCAGATAAAGGAATAAGAAGATAGGCAGGTCTGGTGATAACAGTGACAGGTTTGCAAAAGGCAAACAGAGCAAAAGCAGAAAGTCGAGAGTGAACTCCACACCGAGAAGCACAACAAGAATCTTCTGAAGGCAGACGGTCAGCTGAAAATAAGAGTGTGTTGTGCCTGAAGGAGTACCTTTGCACTCTTACCCACAGCAATAACCCATCTCCCCTTTCTTTCCTCTCTCTCTCTTGCCTCTCATCTTTATTTGTAGCTCTTGAGCTGAAGGGGCTTGCTGTCCACCTTTCATCCCCTCATTCCTGCTTTACTGCCTCAGGCCATGTGTTTGGGTGAAGCCTTTGATTAAGAGTATATGACTGTGGGAGTGTGTGTTAGAGAGAGGCAGCTGTGATCATATAGACCGTGGTGATATGTATGTGAGGTTTAACCACCTGCTAAATGATGGATTATGATTCTGTATGTGGTGAGAAGTTACTTCTTAAAGCACTCACCCACCGGTGAATTTTCTTTAAGGTTCTCCAAGTCTTCTGACCTTCACCTCGGGCTACAGTTCACCCCACAGACTTCAGGGCTCAGTGACGCTCAGCTTGGTGTTCTGGAGGTAGTTCTTAACCAGGAGCAACGTATGTTTTGTGTTGTTGTCATGTTGGAAGACAAAGTGATTTACTTTGTTTTCACATATCATTCTTTCTTCATGAATCCTTCCACTGTGACAAGATTCCCAGTTCAGGACACACTGAAGCATCCCACAGCACTCCCATCACCACGTTTCAGTGTGTGTGTTCTTAGGGTTCCTTCTCCAAACATCTGTAGGACCAATGAGCTCTAGTTTAATCTCATCTGACCAAACGACGACTTTCTCCAGGTTGTCCTTAACTTACTAAATGCTTTTCTGCAGAACTGGGAATTTTTTGTTGGTACTCAACCTCCTAGTCCATTCCTGTGCAGGATTCATTCAATTCGTGACTTAGCTTAGTGTCATTTCTCAGTAGTTTTCTTTCCAGTCTTTGGGATCTGTCAGGCTTGGTTTGTACTGTGTGGCTCTCTTTAAATGTCTTGATGATACTTGTCACTGAGATGGAAACACTATGATAACTTTGTATACCCATCAAGTTAAAGCACATCATTGTACAACACTGGTTTGTGCTATGGCTCAATAAAAACGTACATTTTCAGGGGGATAATAATATTGACCCTGGTTATTATATACAGATAGAAATAATTTATGCTTTCTAAAGAACACTGATATGCTTAAAATGATATATTTAAAATTCCTTGATATGTTAAAAAAGCTCTTGGGAAAATCTGGGTGTGCAGAGCGCTAATAAGAATTTCAGGAATGATTGTACTGAAAGCAGAGATATAACTAAGGTCCCCGGCAGATCTAAGTGGCCAATGGAAATTAGCTGACTGATGAAAATTTAAAGTTAAATTTTGAAAATTT